AGTCAACCGTGTAACGAACGGCAAAGGCTCGCGCCCGACATTAATGCAACGAAAACACACACACCACACATGAACATACTGCTGTTGGCAGCAAAAATAGGGTGTACAGCACATATTCCGGAGTATAGATCCAAAAACCAACCGTTACCTCTCTTTGATCAAGATGAATATTTAAAAAAGACAGCGGCCTGCTGCTGTGCCACACCATCCGACCTTCACTGCTGTGTACTGACCTGCAACACCGCCTCGTTCTCAGAGCAACCTTCCTTGCGGAGGTCGAAGAGTAGCATGAGGACCATCCTTGACTGCAACTGGGTCCAGACCTCGCCCTTCTTCGGCTTCACCTCGTGCACAGATGTGTCCATGTAGTCCAGGCCCTGAGCAACCTTCTCCGCCGCAGCAGCAGCTGCTGCTTGGACGCGCTCAACCTCCTGCTGCTCACGCTTTTCCCGCTGTGCAGCGGCGCGCGCCATTTCTTGCTCCTTCTTGGCGAACGCAGCCTCCTTCGCTCTGAGCCCTTGCTCCCTCTGCGCCATCTCTGCTCTGTCCGCCGCGAGCGCTGCACGTTGCTGCTCGAGCTCAGCTTGGAGTCACTCCTGGGCCAACGGACCTCTCGCTGCTGCTGTTTTGGCTCTCTTGTCCGACTTGGAAGGGCGTCCAACTACACCACCAGTTGGCTGCCTCCTGCCCTTCGGCTTCGCCATCGGCCGATAGCTGAGAGGCCCCTCTTTGAGCGTGCAGTACTCGAAAACGGCTGCGTTGTGTCCAACGCTGGTCTGATGTGCGCGTGCGCGAAATCATAGGGTTTCCAAAAAGTTCTACATGCGTGGCTAATTCGCATCCGTTCTGTTTTTTTTTTCAGGCCCGCATAAAAAAGTAGTGAAAAAGTACCCTATATTCGCCGGCAACTGCTGTACCTTATGGTTGTCTGATGAGAGCAAGGCCCGGCTCATTTGAAAGCTGTGGTTTCCGTGTTTCATTTGATGTGTGGTAGGTCTGCTAACCGTGCTGTAGATTTCGTATAAAGCCTCTGGGCAGAAGTGTTTGTTTCCAGCTGTCCAAGAATATTTTTTAACACTGCTTGAGAGAAAAAANGTGGCTAATTCGCATCCGTTCTGTTTTTTTTTTCAGGCCCGCATAAAAAAGTAGTGAAAAAGTACCCTATATTCGCCGGCAACTGCTGTACCTTATGGTTGTCTGATGAGAGCAAGGCCCGGCTCATTTGAAAGCTGTGGTTTCCGTGTTTCATTTGATGTGTGGTAGGTCTGCTAACCGTGCTGTAGATTTCGTATAAAGCCTCTGGGCAGAAGTGTTTGTTTCCAGCTGTCCAAGAATATTTTTTAACACTGCTTGAGAGAAAAAAATACTGTCGCCAAAAAAAGCAAAAAATAGGAGCAATTTTTTTTGGCATATCGTCATAGCACACTCGCTGGCTAAGTAGCCACACACCGCACGTACACAAGCAGTCTGGGCTTGTTCGCGGTGAGGTGGATACCATGGTGGTGCACGTTGGAACGAAAGATCAAAGATCGCCCCGGACCGCGGATCGCGGATGAACGCGGGTGGACATTTTCCCGGAACCGTGCCAAATTTTGTTCATGCCGTCGACAAATATTCCACACTACTGCAAGCACGGCCATGTCGTCAAGGCATACCTGCTGGCCAAATGAGCATGAACACGTGTTTTGCGGTGAGGTGGATATTGGATATATGGTGATGTCACGGTTTCGGTTTTGGTGTCTTCGCACGTTGTATCCGGAATGCAAGACTGTTCGGGAAGTGAGATACACAAGCTGCACAAATCGCTCCTCCCATCCCTCTATGCGCGCGCGAATGTACATGAACAAATACTGCTTCCCTCGAAACGAGGAGCATAGTCTATCGCGGGGCACACGACGTGTCGAGATCAGGATAAACTACGAGATTAGGATAAACTACAATGGAATGGTGATGTAGACTATTTGTTCCGCAATACTTTGCGCGCGCGTAAAATGAAATGAAGCCGTCGTTTTGCGAAGAAAATGCTTCCTCGTAAGGAGGTCGCAGCGGTGTGGCCCGAACCTCTCGTTGGTAGGCAAAATTGTTGGGCACACACCTATTCCAGCGTCGAAGGACTTGTCAATCCAGCGGTAGATTGGACGGGGCTTCAGTTTGGTGGGGGCTAGGCAACGTTTAGGCTAAAATCGATCGAGTTCGGAGCAATTTGGTGTCGGCAGCACCTCCTGCATGCTTGTGTGTCGTGCTTGAGTGAGGGCCGATCACCGACATAGCTAAACGTCAACGCCGAATGCACCAATCACGCCGAACCTTGCGGAGGGCTTGCAAAGTGCAAAAGTGCAGGAGGGCCGATGGGGCGATTTCTCGTGTCTCGGGCCTGCGGCTCAAGAAGTGCCGGTTCAGGCCTTTGTACTGACAGTGATTATTCATTCATTCATTCATTCATTCATTCATTCACTCATTCATTCATCCATTCATCCATTCATCCATCATCAACATTGAATATTTCCGTTCTGTGAGAACTCTGGAGACCGTATCGGTCTCTTGGGGGAATTCCTTCTTATCAAGTTGCGAGTGTGGGTGGTGGTCCTTCGCTTCCCGGCTTCGGGGACGACATCTCGCACGCATGCTACGAAACGATTTTTTTCGCGATGAAGTCCCGCCATTGTGCGAAATTCGGAACCATTGGTAACGACTGCACATGCGGCCTATGAACTACATAGCAGTCCACGTGTTCTCTTGTTTTGTAGCCCTGTCCTCGCTACCCTTCAGGAGGGATTCAAATTCAATGCTCAAAAGGCTGTACCCATTTCCCGGAACTCTTGGTAGCGTTCAGCGTTGCTCATTTGGAGCTCGCACAACCCGAACTTTCGGTTCTTTCATCATCAATTTTTTGCCGTATTTTTCTGTGGGTGTCATGCATGTCAGCAATCATTTCATGTCGAAAAAACAGTACCAGACTAGCCGTTTTTCCGTTTCTCTGTGCTACCGGCTTTGTTACGAAGGGTTTGCCCGCGCCCGCCGTCATCATCCGCTCGAGTGTTTGGAGCGTTGCCGACCCAGACAGTCCGACGATAGGGGACTTGAAGCGAACCTTTCCTCTGCGACTGTTATTTAAAGCGTCGGCGTCCACTCTGGACACGGGGGCTGACCCGGACGACACGCAGCGAGGGCACAAGTAAGGAGGTAGACGTGTGATTCTGAGAAACAGCAAATGATTATGAATCACTCAACGGACAATGAAGAGGAGCTCTATTCCAGTCGTTCAACCGTAGCAACTTCGACATTTTTGCCGCTTCAACCCGCGTCGGTTTGACTATGTTCAAAATCCTTCAAGCGGACGAGATCTGCATGAGTGTATGAACGTGCTTACGTGGAACCTTTGCGGTGCTTGAACACTAATTGCAGTTTCTCTAATTCCCTTTGATTTGAATCACACGTTGTCGCCCGGCAGGAATCGAACATGTTTTCTTGACTATTCTTTGTTTCCCTACTTTGCACTCATTGTTTCCCTTCTCCCGAAGTCCACTGGCTTGAATTGAGGTGTGCATTTACTCCACTTTGGAAGCACAGGTGCATCCCAGATAAGCGAGCGTGGGGTGGACATCCAGCTGGAATTGGGACTACATACCTGTTACATTAAATCTCAGCTTGGGCTGGCGTGTGAAGAATTTGCAGTACACGGCGAATATTCGGCCGGTAGCCTATTGGGCGGTGTGGACGTGGCAAATCTATGGCAAGGACCAGGGGGGTGGAGGGCGGCTTAAACTTCATCGTGATGGTCATGCAAGGGGGTTCTTACCGACTTCTCCCGAACAGGTCCCGGTGGGTTGAAGTGTGACGAGTCGAACGGGTCCACGAGCTGCACACAACGAATCCGCGCAGCCAAAACACCCACAGTAGCAGATCGGCGTCGAGTCGGTGGGTGGAGGAAACGTGTGTACAGTGAGAGTGAGACGCCACAACGACTTGCCACAAAAACAGGATAACCAACAGAACTACCTCAATCACGGTATCACGCCGACGGTAAGTGACAACGTTGATGTTGATATCTTGCCCTTTGTGGACCGGGGACCGCAAAAGGAGGCGTCGAAGCTTGGCAAGAGTGACCAAAAAACTTGGAAACGCAATCAACAATTTGACCGCACTGGCAAAATTTTCCACACTAGTGACAATTTTGCTAAACCGCCCATGGGCTCTTCCTGGGCTCTTTATGAACTCTTCATGGGCTGCCCATGCGTGATCCATGGGGATGCCCATGGGCGGCCCATGGGCGGCCCCTGAAGTGCCACATGTAGGCATTTCAACGTAGAACTTCGCCACCGGTACATCAACCTAGGACTAAGCCACCAGCACCAACCTAGCGCGTATCGTGTGGGCTTGGGGCTAGGGTTAGCGTTAGGGATATTAGCCGTTCTAGTACCTGTTCCAAAGCACATAATCTATTGTTGAGGAATAAACTGGTTCGGTTGAATGGCTCTCATTGGCCGCCCATGGGCTTCCCATGGGTCACCCGTGGGTCACCCATGGGTCGCCCATGGGCACTTTGTTGCCCAGTCATGGGGCACCCATGGGTCACCATGAGCCGCCCATGAGAGGTGCCCATGGGTGGATGGGCTGCCCATGGGTAACCCCTGGGTGACCCATGGGAGTCCCATGGGAGTCCCATGGGTCGCTTGGGGAAACAATGGAAAGTGTGGGAGACCCTATTGGCAGTGCAAGATCAGGAATCTTGCCTTGGGAGCGATAGGGACCTCGAGCTGCTTCTTCAATAATCCCTCCCAGTCAAAGCCGCTGTACCACTTTTGCTTCATCACGCTTCCAGCCCCCCCAGCTGCCTTCCCAAGCCGCTTGCTCTTGTTGATCTTGAGCAGCCTGCGGACAATGTCCTTCGCCGCCTGGAAAGAGTATTGGAAAAAAGTGACCAGACAACAGCTTGGCCAAACAAAACCGGGCGTACAGAGCTGATCCTGCGAATAGATTGGTGTTCCTTCCCATGGGGCTTGTAGGACGGCCTGTGAGACATTTAGTGGAACGTCTCACGCGGACGGCTCATGGGACGTGTGCGGACAGCCCACTGGGCCATCCCTGGGGCGTCCCATGAGTGCCATGAGCAGGGCTTATGGACAGAACAGATGTTTCCTCATCCTTACGGTCAGGGTCCGGTTTGGACTTAAACCCCCTATGAGAGTCCATGGAACGAACGTGCCTGGCGTCCCATGCGTCTCGTGGGCAATCTCTACCCCTCTCCATGCCTGCGCATGCGGGGATAGGTGGCTACTACATGCGGGACCCATGTGAGACGTCCATTTGATTGGTGGGAATTGTTCGATGGCCGATCAGATTTTGAATTTTGTCAATTTTCTCTTCATGATAATTTGTTTCGATCGTCGAACGAAACAAAGGCACAACACCAATGGTAGGTCCTGAGTCTCCGAAGTTTGTGACGTCCTCGTGACCACCTAGCGCCTTTCTCCGAGCCGGCGATGGACTTGCTCAAGGATCAGCGCGATGTAGGTAAGTAAGTGACCAGATGACA